GGGAAGGGGGGGGCCCCGGGGGGAACCCCGGCCGCAAAGAAAAAAGGCCCGGCCCGGTTTTAAAGGGGGATTTAAAAAAAAAAAAAAAAAATTCCCCCGCCCCCCCCCCCCCTTAAATACCTTGGAAAAAAAAAAAAACCCCGGGGTCCTTTTCCCACAGGTGGTGGGGGACCAGCGGGGGGGTAAACCCCCTCGTCCCAAAGGGGGCCCCCGGAAAAGGGGTTATTTCCCCTTCCCGGGGCCGGGGGGGGCCCCCGGGGGGTTCCCCCCCCCCCCCGTCCCCCGGGGTTACGCAAACCGGGGGAAGGGGGGGGGGAAAAAAAACGGGGGGGGGGGGGGGGCGGGGGTTACAGCAGCAAATCGATGCAAGAGTGGGCAAGACGACAAGGGGTGGATGCGCATGAGAACGAGAGCACCACAACCGAAGAGTCTCACGGAAAAACAATTGGGATGGAAAGCGCAGGCTACCAATGGAGGAAGGAGCATTCCCAAGGGGTACCGCAACAGACCCGCTCTTGTTTGTTGCTCGTCTCTCCCACACGACATGCGCGTGTCTTCCCCGTTTTGTGTGAGTGTGTGTGTGTGTGTGTGTGTGTGTGCGCGTGCGTGCGCCACGATTCTTCGAACCACATATGTATCGCTGGGCCTGAATGCAGCCGCACCCTCGCGGACGACATTACCACCGCACAAGCATCATAGAAGGGAGGCGCCGCCCATCATCACCTCAACCATCACCTCAACCATCATATCATCCCGCATCCCGCAAAAACTTCCAGACAATGTCACCACCACACATCAAAATCGGCGTACGCGCAATCATCACCATCAGCAGCAGCAGCAGCAGCAGCAGCAGCAGCAGCAGCAGCATCACTCACGGCGTAAAACCCTTCTCTCTCCATTCACAAATCCTGCCTCCCTTCCAAAAAAAGCATACCACGAATGCATACATAATTGTATACATAATTGTACACAAAACGGAGACTGACGCATACACAAACACAAAGAGGCGTTGTGCGCGGTACGGCACCTGCTTGGCGCCGCGGCCTGTCAGTGCCGCCATGCGGTTGGCCTTGCTCTCCCCCGCCTGGCCAGAGGACAGGACTAGCGACAGCTGCACGGCTAAGTACTCGAGCAGCCACGGCAGCCTCTCCGTCGCGTCCTTCCCCGCCGGCAGCCAGAAAATACCGTCCCTACCATAGGTATGTGCAGCGGTCGGTGTGTAAGCAATTGTTGAAAAATTGTCTCACGCTAAGCCTCATCGCTAAATGGGGTAGGTAGGGAAGCAGCAGCCAGAAAAATACCGTCTCCGCATGTCGGACGGAGTGATATGTACAGCAGTTGGTATTGGTTTGAGATATTCAAACAAGTAACACGCAAAGCCTAATCGCTAGGGTTGAGAAGGAGCAGCCAAAAAAAGCCGTCCTGTGCACATGTGATGGAGTGGCGCGGTCGGTGTGTTTTGAGTTGTCAAAAAAATATTTTCACGCCACAGAAGCCTCATCGCTAGCGTCGAGAAGCGGAAGACAAAAAACTGCTGTCCTTGCACATGATGGAGTGGTGCGGTCGGGTGTGTCTTGAACTGCTACAAAGCATTCTCACGCAATAACAAGTCTCATCAGGGTAAGGAAGTAGCAGGCACAGAACGACGTCCCAGCATAAAGGACGGAGTTATGCGGTCAGTGTGTTCGACTTTGTGAAAAAATAATTTCATGTCACTAGGGAAGCAGCTTGAAAGCAAAGGATTCCAGAAGGGAATAAACATGCGAAGAAAAACAACATCATCAACAATAACAACAATCGCAACATACCTAAAGTGTCGCCGGACGTCCGAACGCCTGGCCACCGCGGACGACAGCACCGTCTTTCCGGCACCAGGGGGCCCCGTGATTACCATGGGGGGGTCCCACGGACTCACTCGCCCAAGCAGCCCCGCCGCCACCCGCTCCTGAACAAGACAAAAGTATATAGTACATGGTATATTGTACAAATCAGGCACGTGAAACGTTTCAGAACCAGCAACAAACGCAGAGCAATTTAATCGACCAAAAGCAGCCGAGAATATTTGTCATGACCGTCTGAAACGCCTTTATTATTACCCGTAGTACAAATGCTCTACTGCTGTACGATGCAAAAATAGTCCCACATACGCGAGATTGTCGCAAGGCCACAAACAAATTAGCAGCGACGTGCCTGCATCGCCGTTCGCGGCAGATGGTGCGGCGGGAGCTCCGGGCAGAGCACCGGCGGAGGGGCCAAGTCTCTCCGGGGGGGCAGCAGGGGGACCACGCTGGACTTGAACACCCCCCGCCGCCCGACGTTGGCGTCCATCCTCGCGTAGAGCATATCGTGCGCCCGCCACAGAAGGGCAGACGTATCCTGCGACAGGGGGGGGGGGCATACCACGCACGCAATCGTGTACAGATTTTTGAGGAGATGTGTACATCAGCAACAACGAGTTACATCTTTGCCTTCACCAGCTACAAGAGACAAGGTCACACGGCCCTCGGAACATCTCCCCCGCGTGAGAAGCCGATTCCCTCCTGAAGGGGGACAACGTCTCGGTCTAGTAGAGCTGGGGACGGGGAGAAAAGAGAAATAAAACGGGCAGTCCACGTCGATACCATGTATCACAACAGCAGACCAGCAGTGCCGACATCGCATGCGTCTACTTGCCTTTTCTCTGGTTGGACTTGGAGAGATCGACTCCTCCACCCCAAAAGACGCGGGGTGGATCACAAAAAACAGGACGCCGATGATGCCAGTCATATTCACGCCCAATCAACCCCATCGCCACAACAGGTGATATCCCACACCCCCACACACTTCCACACAAAAACAAATGGCTCATAGTCTATACCGGAATGCAGAATGCCGCGTACCCTACCCCTACCCCCCCTCTCGAGGACGAGGACGCGTGGTCAATGGTCTACCCGCCACAGTAAGGCATGCAAAGCATGAGAACCCCCCCATATAAACCCCACCTCGATGATGAGCTCGGAGACGGGCTCTTGCGTCTCCAAAAAGGCCGAAAGAACACCAGAATGCAAAATACCGCGTACCCCCCCCCCGTTTCCCCGTCTCCACACAATAGAAACCCCACCTCGATGGTGAGCTGGGAGACGGGCTCCTGCGTCTCCGGGCACGAGAACGGCGCCAGCAGTTCGCTCAGTGTGCGCAGCTTCTCATGAGTCCTGGCGGCCTTGTCCAGGGGGGCCCCGTCGAGGCTAGCCATGTACCGCAGCTGCAGCTCCCCCGCCGCCTCGTCCTGGAACACGTCCCCCACGACGATCGGCGCTCGTGCCGCTGTCGCGATGCGCTTACTCAGCTCCTGGGCGGGGGGGGGTCAGGAAGGGCGGGAGGGGGGGTAAGGCGGTTGCTGCGTTGTGTCTGACTTGAGCGGTTTCATCGCTAAGTTCCTTTTCGAGATAGACAGCACATGCGCGACCGGCCCAGACGAAAAAGACATACTGTAGCCTAAACAGACACGACCGGCCGCCCCCGACACGTATTTATCTGCCCCGAAAGCCCAAGCAACACAAGATAAAATAGCACGCATCTCATCCTTAATCTTACTTTCCTCGGACCGTTCCTTCACCTTTAGTCGCTCCCCATCGCTCTCCAGGAGGCCCCGCACCATGCGGACCACGAGACGTGCCCCCGAGTGCGGGACGTCGCCGGTGCCCCCACCGTGGTCTTCTGCCAGGTGAGTTCCCTCGATGATCTGCCGTTGGGGCAAAACGCAAGACAATTGCACAACCCAGTTTCAGTTGAAATACTTCACCATGCACACGACCGCCACCCCGCAGGACCGATCACATGGTGGTCAACAATGTTCATCAATACGCGTCACCGTCTTGTCGACCTTCTGAAAGACAACGTCAAGTCGCCCATCCCGATCACGAATATTCCAGGTAAAAGCTGCGCCGACGTTCGTCAACATGATAGAAATCCCTCGACGCAGGTCTTACTGACATAGATGCCGGTCGAACCATACGAACAGAGCCAAACAACACCCAACTTTTTCTACATGGCACTCACATTCACAGCACCAGCACGTCAAACATGCCAAGCCAAAAACAAAAACATGCAAGCAAACTGCAGGAGGCATATCGCCACGACAACTTACAGGCGGCACATGCAACCACCACAGCCAGAAATGGCCAAACCCAAATCACCATCTACATGGTAGACCCAACTCACCGCGGCCTTTACCCTATCGACCGCTGCAACATCCGGCGGGCTGCGCTTGGAGATGGCCACCCAAGCCTTCTCCGCCGCCGACACCAGCTCCGTGAAGCCGCCCTACGTGCACACCACCAGACACGAGACGAACACGATATGAACGTACGGACACGATAGAGCGAGCGTCTACATGTGCATGTATGCTCGACAACGAAAACCATGGCTGTGGCTCGTTCACATCTTCAACGACAAGGATGATGGCGGCTGAGACAAGCTCCTCCTTGTCGCAAAGGACCACACCGACCCGCAGAGTAAACATTCCAACATTCACGTGCTCATCATCAAGGGCTCACAGAGGCTACTCTTGATTGAAGCGCATCACTCTGTACGCGCGCGCACTCACCCAACCGCACAGTGAAAAGTTGAAAGTTGAACGATCACATCTTGAACAAGGGGGGATGAACAAAGAAGAGCGAGTATCTTCTGTCATTGTATACAATTTCATCAGAAAACAAACAGCTCACACACATGTATCGTACGATAGCAGTTGAAGACACGTTCAGCGTCAGCACGATGCGCAACCACACCCGTAAGAATGCGATCGGGTAATCGGCGGAATGAGTGAGCATTAGCACGTCGCGCACAATTTTGTGCGTCTTTATCCGGCGGTAGTCCGGCCTGACGACCAAAAACAACAACAACAACAGCCAACATGAAACGACGAAAGGACCAACATGAAACAACGCAATGACGCACCACGTAGCAGAAGAAGTGCCTCTCGCTCAGCCTCGTGCCGGCCCTCTTGAGGCCCTTCAGGCACGCCAGCAGCGACGGCAGCCCGCTGCCGTACTGCTTCCCGAGACGCCCCTGGTCCCCCCCGCCCGTCCCAGCCCCGCCATCCGCGCCCCCCCCGATTACCGCGCCGCCGCCGCCGCCGCCCCCCCCGCCCCCAGTCACGACCCCCCCGCTGACGGTCCCGCCACTTGGCGAGGAGGCCGACATCCGAGACATCCGCATGCCCGACAGGGCTACGGCGTTGGCCGTGGGCATGAGGCCCGGCGCCGACCTGGAGATGGTGAAGCTGCTCTCTGAGCTGATCGTCGCCCGCTTGAGGGCGTCGCGGAGCTGCTCCAGCGCCGCCCGCAGGGCGGCCCTGTCCCCCGGGGTGACCTCGAACCGGACGTCCGGGTTGGACAGGAACTCGGGGAGCGGCGAGTCCGTCGTGTCAGAGTCGAGGCCCTCGTTCTCCGGCACCTGTTGGTTGTTGTTGTTGTTGTTGTTGTTGTTGCTAAGTTGCGGTTGCTGTGGTCGTTGGATGTTGCGATTTATCGTTCGTCTTTGAGAGTGGGGGCAACGACAGCCAAAGCAGGGCACCAAAGCGGACGGTCGCAGGGAGGGAGAGAGGATGCACCAGAACGAAAAACACACCAGCAACACCCACACCCGAAACAATACAACTGAACTAGAGTATTCGGTGCAAGTAGATTACATTACTTTGCCAAAAATCTTGCAGTGGGAAAATACAGAAGTCAAGAAATGGAACTGCAAAACGTCGTCCATCACCCACACCCCCACCCATCCCCTGGACCACGCATCCCCTCCGTTTCGCAGAATGAGGTTTTGTGCACGATTGTATATGCTTCGTACAACTACTTTGCTGCGCTGGTGTGAAGTCTGCCGCGTTCGAGCGTTGGCCGGGTCCCGAGTTCGACTCCAAGCCAACCGCAACCACGTCCAACAACGGAGATCACACACACCAGCAAGACCAAGACTCGAAAGATAAGATAAGATTTCGCCCCTTTGAATGTACAACCGCGATCGCGGTACACTGCACCACATCACACCGCACGATCCTCACCTGGAACTGCACAGACTTCCGGCCCCCCTTCGGCCTGTTGGAGGGCAGGAGCAGCGAAACACGCGGCATGGCCGGCAGCGTGGCCGCCTTCTTCATCGACCGCGCCTCCAGCGCCGCCGCCGTCGCCGCCCCCCCCCCCACGTCCATACCATCTGCGCCCCCCCCCTCCC